GGGAAAGAGAAATACAAACCGCACAGTGTACCTTTTTTACTCAGTCTGTTGCAGGGTGATCCAGACAGAAAATAGGTGACATTATGCGCATTTTTCTCCCAGTACCACTAGTGCACATATTTCTCATTAAAAGCATTTTTCTTCATATCTGTACCAATCTGATGCTAGGAGTTCTAATTTTAATGTTATTTCATATTAGTTAATCACCTATGTATTTTTGTAGTGAGCTTCAGAAGACCTCTTACTTATTGTAAGATTCCTAAAATACAGGCTTTGAGGTCCTCTAGTTCATTAGAACAAACGCTCTAACAAGGCTATGCTTGCAGGAATCATCTGGAATTCCTCTGAAATATCACATATTGGTAATGATTATGCCTGAAAACTATGAAATGTGTGACCAGATATCTGTGAAGACTATTGGTTGTATTTTAATTTAATTAACATTACAGTGTAATTTTTCAGTGGAATATGTAATATTATAAGAGTATACACTACTGTTGTATCTAAGTGTGATGGAGAATTGTGGTGAGAAGAATTTGTCTATATTCCCACTATAATTACAGTGGTTGTTCTTAAAGCGCAGAACACATTTGTAAGTATTTCATAAGTACATACAATAATTTCTTTGGATTCATTTTAAAATACCGTAAGGTGTATCAGATCAATTTTCAGGCCTTAATGACCTTATTTTTGCAGTCTTTCAAACTTTCCCATATAATTAAAACACGCTTTAATATTCTGTATTGGTGGTGGTTATTTCCTGCTTGAAAAACTGATTCTGTGTCTCTGCTGAGCCATTAAAATGCACAGCACGAGGACCTTGAAACCCGAGGAAATGAAAGTCATCAGGCAGATTAAACCACATGCATTCTTTTTTTTCTTCATTACGTAGAATTTTCTTCATTCTTACCAATTAAACTTAGTTTAAATCCAAATGCCATGCCTATACATACTGGTTTACTTCCGATTAAATGTATTTGAAAACAGATTTGAAATATGTTCAGCAGTCTGGAATTCTGCAAAAGATTTATTTACCATTTTGTATAGATCGTACAGTGCTTTGTCTATAAGCATCTTAGATTTTTTTTATTTTTAGGAAAAACAAAAAGAAAGGGAAGCTGAACTACAGGAGAAGAAAGAGAGATCAGAGAAGATCTTTAAGGAATGGCTACATAATGCAAGAAATAAACCACGCCCTGTTTTAAACGGTTATGGCTTCGCACATGGGAAGTCTACAGGTTTGTACTTCTGCTACACATATGTAGTGACTTAGGTTTGTGGTTCCTTCCCTCTAATCTTTTAATGTAAAATGATTTTCATCCAGTATCTAATTTTGGCACATGGGAATGAATATCTCATCTGTTAGAAGTCAGAGAAGCTTTTACTCTGAGACTCTTTATGCATTTTTTGTAGCCCTTCATGTTATTTGGGAGGAAAATGATATTATTTGAGAGAATAATGGGGCATACCGAATTATAACTGATTTTGATCTCACTTTCCATACCAGGCATAGGAACCACTAGAGCCAATTACTGGTTCCTGTGAAGCAAATCAGTTATGTTAGCATCCTTGTGAAGTTAGCATTTGTGTTACAGAAGGTGTGTGCCACCGTATCACACCTGAATCCCCCTTAGAAAAGAGGTGGGGTTTTGAGACACAGAGATTAGTAAGAGGCTGACAGAAGTCCTTTCTGAAAAAGGAGACACGGGACTTGACCTGTGTTCTGAGCCGAGACTTCCTTTTAATTTGCTTTACATGGGCATCACACCTTCTTGGCTTCTGTAATCCTATTCCTGTTTTGTTTTAAAGGGAAGTGTTAAAGAGAATGCTGTTGATAGTGTGGTGTTTTGTGAGTCCCACTTTTATTTTTGTATTTTTTGTCATCCCACGTGGTACAAAAGCAGAAAAGCAGTAAGAAATAGTATTGCATTTTACATTTGAGTGCTTAATTAAATTTTCTTTAAATATATACATATACTTTTGCCTTTATTTTTATTTTTTTTTATTAAGTTACCTAAATTCCAGGCTCTGAGTGTTTAAGAAAATGTATGAAGCAGGTGAACAACCTTTGCTTTTTTGGTGACATCTGGTTATAGATGCTGATACACTTTGCTAAGATGGTTTATTTTGGACCTTCATTACTTCATTACTTAAGTGATTTTTGAAAAATATTTCTGTACTCAGTAGTATTCATGCAATAGAATATATTACAGACTTTGTTTTACCCAGCCACATGATGTACGCACTAAAATTTCATTACAGACAAATGACTGATAGGGCAACATGTTCCTTCTGTTGCTTTTTAGGTTTACTGATACTGTTTTATGGACCCGAGGTTATTAATTGCAGATTATTAATGTATATGTGGATAATTAGTGTATTTTTCTCCTCAATAAAATGAAGAATAACAGTTAAGCAAAGATGGAAAAATATGTGAGCTTTGTATATGTGGTGACAGGAAGTTTTTATAAATGCTCTGAAATAATGCAAAGTAGCCAATTTGTAGACATTTACAGCTTTTAAGTATACAAATGACTGAGCATTCTGAATATTACCTGCTTATTTTAAATAGAGATGAAGAGTATGCCAGTTATTGGTAAAAAAAAAAAAAATCTACTACTTTGAATCTTTTAAATTATGTGATGTGCCTATGCTGTCATCCTCTGAAGATGCTGTCATGTCTTCGTTAGTCCAGATGATTATTATAACTGCTTGCATTGTAAAGCTTGTAGTGTGAATATTCCTTTTTAGTTATATGCTTTTCCTGAAATGTTCTAGGGCGTGCTGATGGAAATTCGTATCCAGCTCCAGCATATTGTAACCCTATTCCTTGGAAACCTGTACATGTGCCTCCTCAAAAGGAAGACTGTGTTCTTACCACGAAGAAGAGTAAGAGACCTGTATCTTGTCAGTCACATGCCTCTTTGCCTATAGTAATATATAAGCCCAAGAACAACCCCTGTATTGGATCCTTGTGCAGAAAGCAGTTGTAGTACAGAAAACAAAACTGTTCCTATGATCTTGAGTGAACTGGGCCATAAATATGAAGTTGTAGGTAGTTACATGTCCAAAACAGGCTGCTTTTTTTTTTCTAAACTTTTGTGACCAGGTGTTTTTATTTACAGCTGACTAATCATCTTTTTTATATGATTTTTTATATGTTGCATTTCAGTAAAAAAAGAAAAAAAAAGAAAACAGTCATATTTAGCCAATTGTAATGGGACTGTACCTCAATACCAATAAAACGCACAGGATTGTTTCTTCCTTTCCTCTGTTGTTGTTGAAGGAGTTCTTTTGTGTATGTGATTATTCTTTGGGGCAACAGTATTACTGGGTTATTTTAAAGATGCTAATTATAACAGACTTTAAAACAATTATTGGCTTAATATGGAAGGAATTCAAGGCCTGTGTATAATTGCAGGTCTATGACATCATTGGGATCGCAGAGTTGTAGTGGGATAGCTTACATCTCTGGAGTGCTGCAATGGATACAGGCTTTTGAGGAAGCACAGGCTGGGGTGACGAGGAGGGGAGAGAGCAGGAGGAACCCATGAAGTTTTGCGTGAGGACTGATGATTAGCCAGCTGAGACCTAATGAGTGAAGATTAAAAAGGGAGACCAAGGTGGGCAATGTTGTGTTGGTCATCTGATCAGGAAGAAGTGTGTGACGTTCTTCAGGCAGTTGGAAGAAGCCTTATGCTTCCAGGCCCTGGTCTCATAGGGAGACTTGAACCACCATGAAATCTGCTGGAAGGGCAACACAGCAGGGCACAAGCAGTCAAGGGGGTTTCTGGAGAGGATTGTTGACTTCCTGAAGTTCCTGACACAGCTGGTAGAGGAGCTGACAGTGGGAAGCTCTTTGCTGGACCTGATACGTACAAACAAGGGAGAACTGGTCGGGGACGTGAAGGCTGGGGGCAGCTTTGCCTGCAATGGCCATGGGATGGTGGAGTTCAGGATCCTGAGAGGAGGGAAAAAAAAGCAAGATCACAACACTGAACTTCAGGAGAGCAGGTTTTGTCCTGTTCAGGAACTTGCTTGGAAAAATCCCATGGAAAATATGGTCATGGAGAGAAGAGGGTCATGGAGAGCTGGTGATTTTCAAGGATTGCTTCCTCCGAGCTCAAGGATGCTCCATCCCAATGAGCAGAAGCAGGAGTGGCAGGAAGCATGTGTACATGAACAAGGAACCCCTAAAACTAAATATAACAAGGAGGCATACAAGAGGGGGAAGCAGGAACAGGCGACCCTGGTGGAATATAGAACCACTGTCCAAATGTGCAGGGATGGGATTAGGAAAGCCAAAGCCTTTCTGGAGTTGAAGCTAGCAAGGTATGTGAAAAGCAAAAAGAAGGGCTTCTGTAGGTATCTCATCAGCAGACGGGATTGCGACAAATGTGAGTCTGCTGCCACATGGGGTAGGCATTTGGTGACAATGGACACAGAAAAGGATGCTGCTTTTTTTTTTGCCTTTTTTTTTCCCCCCTTTATTTTCTTCTTTCCTGGCAGTCCGCTGATTGACCTCAGCAGTCACGGGGCCCAGAGTCCAGTGGGGGAATCTGGAGCAAGGAAGACAACCTTGATGGAGGAGGATCACTTTAGGGAATATCTAAATAAAATGGACGTACCTGTTTCTATGGGATCTGATAGGGTGCGCGTGTGAATGCTGAGGGAGGTGGCAGATATCGTTGTAAGGCCACTCTCAATTATCTTTGAGAGGTCGTGGTGATCAGGGGAGGTTGCTGAGAACTAGAAGAAAGCAAATGCCAATCCTGTCTTCCAGAAGGGCAAGTAAGTGGATCTGGAGAACTACAGGCGAGTCAGCCTCACCTCAGTCACCTAGAAAGGTGATGATGTGGAAATGGTGGCATGAGAAAGAGCATTGGCCAGCAAGTTGACGGAAGCAATCCTCCTCCTGTTCTCAGCACTGGTTGAGACCACATCTGGGGTGCTATGCCCAGTCCTGGGCACCCCAGTAAAAGAGAGTCGTGGACATCCTGGAGCAAGCTCAGTGAAGGGCCACAAAGATGATTAAGGGGTGACAGATGAAGAGAAGCTGAGAGAGCTGGGACTGTTCAGTGTGGAGGAGAGAAAGCTCAGGGGAGATCTTACCGATGTCTGTAAATACATGATCAGTGGAGAGGTAAAGAAGACAGAGCAGACCCTTCTCAGTAGTGCCCAGTGACAGGAGAAGAGGCAATGGGCACAAATTAAAATACAGGATTGTATTGGGTCTGGCTGAGATGGAGTTAATTCTCCCCACAGCAGCCCTCAGTGCTGTGCTGTGTATTGGTAGCCAGCAAACTGTTGATAACACACCAGTGTTTTGGCTACTACTGAGCAGTGCCAGCACACATCAAGGCTGTCTTTCCAACATTTCTTTTTCCCCAGCAGCAGGCTGGGGGTGGGCAAGATCTTGGGAGGGGACACAGCTAGGACAGCTGACCCAAACTGACCAAAGGGATATTCCATACCATATGACGTCATGCTCAGCAGTAGAAACTGAGAATAGGGGGAGGAACAGGGCGGGGGCAATTGTTGTGGTTTTTTTTTACAATGTTTGTCTTCCGGAGTAAGGGCCACGCATACTGAAGCCCTACTTCCCAGGAAGTGGCCGGACATCGCCTGCTGATGGGAAGTAGAGAATAATCTTTGCTTTTTGCTTTGCTTCCGCACGCGGCTTTTTGCTTTAGCTACATTAAACTGCCTTTATCTCGACCCGCGAGTTTGGGGTTGTTTTTCTCCATCTTCCTTTCTCCCCTCCCTGCCTTGCTGAGGAGGCGAGTGATAGAGCGACTCTGGTGAGCACCTGGCCCCCAGCCAGGGTCAACCCATCACAAGAAATTCCATTTAAACATGAGCCAGAAATTTTTAAAGTGAGGGTGATCAAACTCTGTAAAAAGGTTTCCCAGAGATGTTGTGGAGTCTCCATCATTGGAGGTGCTCAAAACCTGACTGGACATAGCCCTGAACAACCTCCTGTAGCTGGCCCTATTTTGAACAAGGGAGTTGGACTAGATAATGTCTAGAGGTCTCTTCCAATCTCAATGATTCTGTGATTAATGTTGAAAAGAAAAAAGCAGGAAAAAAAAGACATTTTTCTTCCCTGTTACCGTAGTTGTATCACTTCAAGTAATATATTGCTATCCTTTAGAAATTACACAATATTACGTATTAGAAAATTTAAATAGTAGAAAAATCACTAAGGCACATTCTGGCATGTAAGTATTCTAATATATTGATTCTGCTTCTAATCTTAATAATAAATTTAAATTTCTGGGCAAATCATGAAAAATACTAAACTATCTCATGTTAAGTTTATTCTTGAAACATTATTTGTACCCTTACTTTGAATCAGTTTAGACAATATGCCTATGACTGTTCTTTCTAGATAATGCCAAATGCTAGCAAGACTGCAACATCTGACAGTAGTTAATAGATTATTTAGTTTGTGTTTGTCAGTAATTTATGGTATGAATAAGGTCTCACATACTTGGACTTTCACAAAGTACCTCACATTTACCTATTGTTAAAGCAGCACAAAGGACATTTTGCAGTTGAGTTTAATTTTTCATTTTACGCTATGAAGTCATTAACATAAAACTATTTTTCATCAGAACAAAAAGAAAAAAGTGCTTTAAAGAGCAATATATGAATCTTCTTTAAGTAAATTCTATCATTTTATTATAGTAGTGGCTAAAAATCACTAAAATTGGGGCTGCTGTGTAGTACAGATTTAAATACATTTTAATACTTGAATGTGCATCATTTAAGCTGACAAAATAGACAAAAGCTAGTAAGAGTATACAAGTATATTCATCGGATTATCATATACAGTGGGTGCACAAGCTGACCTGATGCATTTCACCTCTACTATCACTAAGATATCTAGGCTCCACAGTGTCTGTCATGGGTCTGTTCTTCTGTGACAGTGTGTAAATCAAGTGCCAAACATTTATGAATATGTAACATACAATATGGTTTATCATTATATTAGTTAATGAATGTCTGTTAAGAGTACCTGACTTTGATATTAATTTGACTACACACACTTAGGAGAAGTCTGGACTCCATAAAATAGGTGGAGCGTCACAGTGTCTTTCTGTTAAGTAAGAGAACTTGGGCTTCACAAAGGTGATCAGAGGGCTGGAGCACCTCTCCTATGAAGACAGGGTGAGACAGTTGGGGTGGTTCAGCCTGGAGAAGAGCAGGCTCCAGGGACACCTTATTGCAGTCTTCCAGTACCTAAAGGGGCCTACAAGAAAGCTGGAGAGGGACTGTTTACAAGGGCACGGAGTGATAGGACAAGGGGTAATGGCTTTAAGCTGAAAGAGGGTAGGTTTAGATTAGATAGTAGAAAAAAATTATTCTCAATGAGAGTGGTGAGGCACTGGCACAGGTTGCCCAGAGAAGTTGTGGATGCCCCATCCCTGTAGGTGCTTAAGACCAGGTTGGATGGGGCTTTGGGCAACGTGGTCTAGTGGATGGTGTCCCTGCCTATGGCAGGGGGATTGGAACTAGATGATTGTCAAGGTCCCTTCCAACCCAAACCGTTCTATGATTCTGTGATTCGCAGAAGTCATCTGCACGTTATCTTCTGGATGTAGAACTCTGTGCCCAGCTTTTTCTATAAGGACCTCTGCAATGGATTGGCGTGAAGCTAGTGGATTAATGTATTAGTTGTTAATCTCTCCATCTGACCTTGCCATGTGGAGATGTTTTATGAGAGTCAGAAGTTTGATGGTTGTGTAAGCTACCAGAAACTCATTAGTGTTTAGATGAAGGGACAGCATTTTACTGTAATGTAAATGATTAATTTTGGATTAGTTTACAGAGGTTTATTGGGACTCTGATTCACTTGAAGAGCCACATACTATCATGTTAGGATTTTCTCTACTAGTTTTTCTGAAATAGCATGTGGCCACCAGTAAAGTGTGTTGACATAATTACCTGAATGTATATTTATGACTTCGTGTTTGTTTTAGCATTTATTTGCTTGCAGTGACATAAAATGGCCTATCGAATGAAGATAGGCATTGATAGCATTTATATTAACTGAGTATGAAAGAATCTGTGGCTTGATTCTGCTGTAACACATCGTTGACAAGATTTCTGTTGTCTTGAACAGTGACAAATGGCAATTAACAGGGGTTCCTATGCTAACCCAAATAGAGTTCGCCTTCAGGATTGCATGTCTGCACCCAGTGTGAAGGGCTAAATAAGTCTTAAATGTGTATTTGGTTCAGGAAAGGGAATATAGAAGTAAATGTTGAAATCTAGTAATTTTCTTTCAGATGCCTCAGCCAGAATAATTGAGCTGAGTACTTACTGGAATTCTGGGTTAGAGATTTTAGGTTTTTTATTTTTACTAATAAATATCTAAAGCCATTATTCCTTTTTTTGTCCCAACCAAAGATAGTAGTATTTTTCCTCCACCAAATTTCCTGTGGAAAGGTTTAGCCTGTCTTCAGGATCAGAATAATGTTTCATTTCAAGACAGCCAGCTTTAAGTGGACTTAACACTCCTAAAATAGCAGCTTTAAGATGAGGCCCTTGCTGTAGCTTATCTATAGCATTGTAAATGCAGTTCTCTCCTAACTAAATTACAAATAAGGTTAAGGCAAGATATCTCATGAGTGTACATATTGGCTCCGATTCAATCAACATAATGGTTTTGTTGAGCAGAGAAGAGAAATATTGTTTGGATTTTTTCCAACAGGATATCAACCGCACAATAAAATAGTCTGGCCTTGTAGCGTAATTTAAGATTGTATGCTACAGAAGGCTATAATTTCATGCTGTTGTGGCAAATAATTAATTTACACCATTCTTTCTCAGATGTTAGAAAGATAAAATCTTAGCACTTTGTTGTAGCTTAAACAGCATTCTGTAGTCTTTTATTAAGTTCTCTCCTGGATTTCTCTGCTTATGAAATTTCACAGTAGATCAAGTTGCAGAATCTAGAATTACTCACTAGAAACAATCCAAGATCTTGCATCTTGATGTCTATGCTGCTAAAATAATGAGACTGAACCTCAGCTTATTTTCATCCCTTGGTTTTGCAGAACTTCTGGTTGTAAGAAATCATAGACCACTTCAACATCCTGGCTCTTGCATCCTTGTAGGATTCACAACCTTTCTTCCTCTCCATCTGTCAGTCATAAATAGAGTGCCACGTTCAACCTCACTGAGAAGGATTACATCACCTATGAGCTTTTACTGGTTTTGAAAATTACTCTGTAGGTGCTCCGTAAAATAGCATGACTTTCCAGTAATTGACAGTGGATCTTCACACAGATGTTTCAGGATTGAAAATCTACAAGTGGTAAAGTGGATCAAAAGAAGTCATAGAAGAGCTTATGATGAGTAAGAGGTCACTATTATTGTAGGCAGCCTTGCATTGTTAGGAAGTAGTCTGGTGAATGTAACATAATGCAAGCTGACTGTTGGAAGTTTTGTTACTGGTTCTGGTGTGGAGCCAAGGCTTCACCTGAACCCAATAATTGCATCATATTCTAGTAATGTCCTTGCCAGTCTAATGTTTAATTGTAAAATTAATTTCTTAATTTATAATTTTGAAAGCCAGATTGAAGAGGAGTCAGTAGTTCCGATATAATTTTCACTGGGAGATTTTTGTGAGTAAATATGGAA